CACGACAACGGAACGCCTGTGAATATAACGCTAACTGATTAGGATTAGGACCACAAATCTAGGAGTTGACATAGACTTGATCTTCTGTATGATGACTGGACGAAAACTCTCATATCAAGTCCTGAAAGTTGGGATTCTGTAGGGACTGGATCTCAGTCAATCGTATATTGTACGCTGGTATCCAGTGGCGTGTTTCGAGGATCTTCGTGATTGTACAGTAGAATTATTGTACACAGAAGTCTTTCGTATTGAGAACCCGAAAAGCTGATTATATACCTCAACAATACCAATTTAAACACTAATATATGTACACATATTATTTTATGCTTTATACAATAACAAAATACACATACATATATGGCTCATATATACTAAAATAATCATGTACCTATAGGAAAACAGCACTACGTATACACGCCCAAATGTTAAAGCTTATCGATTTTGAGACTAGACTAATATATGCGTGTGTAATAATTTATTAAAAGGCTACGCATGATTAGTGCGTACATATGCGAGGGCACTATATTATGTATATTGTATACATATTTAATACGGTTTAAACCCGAAATTATATATTATGTTTTACTATATTTACCAAAAATTAAAAAAAAAAATAATGTTTGGAACGAGTAAAAATATTTTACCCAAACAAATGAAGACGTATATTTACCTATAATTTTATACCTTCGAGTTCACTACATAGTGATGATAATTTTATGCAAAGACGATTATATATTGTGTAGAACGCTATAATATTTAAGCTTCGTAATTTGAAAGTAGGGATGTTAATATTATTTGTAACGCTATGCGTTGTTTCACACATTAAAAATTAGTTTAATAATTGAATTTGATTTCTATATAATTTGTAATTAATTATGCGCCTAATTACCTATATTAAATTTTTTTCACAATTTCTTAGACAAATGATTCGTATATTAAATATATTTATTGTATTATATTTTAACTTTGTCAATTTGTGTGCATTAAAATAAAATAATACAAAATAACAAATCTATATTTAATTATTAACCATACTTTTAGGGCTAACCCTGATATCTATTTAAATTTGACGTTTTTTTACAGGCTAATTACTGATTTGTTGATGTGGCGCAAAAAAAAAAATAACATATTTAATTAAAAAAAACTCCTCTGATAATTATTTGTCGTTTAAATAGTTCGAATACATTTTGAATTTAGTTCATTGGAGACACAAAAATTACTGTGGTACTTAAATTGTGAAAATTAAATGTGAAATCTTTGAAAATATTAATACGATAATTATCGAAATCGATTTCGCAAAAAATACTTTCCAAGCATGTATTTTTTTTTAGGTACTTAAAAATGATTTAATTAACTAACTATAGAACTATCTACTTATTACCTATCATTTGATTTAAAAATAAATTGCTCAAAAGAACCAATCATTTGTCCAAAATGGTTAAAGGATTATGATTTGAAACATTAGTATCATATTTCTAAAGTCTACGATAAAAATGGCTGATATCATAAAAAGAGACCTCACCGCTGTAGAACAATAACATTACAATTATTCTACGGTGACCGTCGACGCGGTTAATACGCGTATTAGCTGTGTAAATCTGTATAATTCCTTTTGTAATAGTTTAGGGTAAAATCTCAGTAAAGCTGTAATATAATACTATAGTACTAGAACACTACAATAATGCACTACAAACTGCATTGTAGCCTTGACGTTCTTCTCCTATGAGAACGTTGTGCAGAATTAGGATTAAAAAAATCTGAAGATGATTATTAGATATAGTCAATTTAAAAAAAAATGTGAGTGTTTTTTAAATTTGTTTCATAATTTTGTAATTATTTAGGTACATACACGTAACTATATTGCATTGTACACGTTTTCTTCGTAATAAAATTGTGAAACAATTAAAATGAAGGATTGGAATATTTTAAAAAACGAAACAATTTCGATTAGTGTACAATCAGTATTACGCGATCCACATAAATAAATTTCCATCACGACCGATGGAAGAATATAAATATTTACTCTAAAATCATGCTATAATAATAATAATAATATTGTTGTTTGTGTTCGCCGTATGTAGGTAATATTATAGTACGATGATGCGATAAACGTGTTTTGACGAACGGAAAAAATTAACACGGAAAGTTCGCACTTCTCGGATACCCAAACATTATTATATTATAATACTTATAATAGGTAGGAGCCGGTGGGTACACCGTCTATACACCGCCGCCGATCGAAGGTCCTATTAGTTGGGGATTTGTTTTCTAATTAAATATCCCCCGTATCCCGCTCGAACAAGATACAGTATCATCATAATAATAATATATATATATAGATACCTACTATACATATTATTATTATACATTATTATAATATACCTACGCGGTGTTTCCTCTGTGCACTTTGTCGGCGGCACCGCACCCAATTATAATGTGCATTAATCATATTAAACGGTTTTTCGCCAGGGGAAAATTCGTATTAGTACTAGATCATCCCAGCAGTAAGCACAATATATTTCACGTCTGTTATTACCCTCCTGCCTGACGGCCAGGGGTTGTAAATAAAGGGCACCGAAAGGATTTTTCGAAAAGATCCACAACCCGTCGCGTACACCGGCGTACGGTACAGGTACACATAGTATTTTTATTCGGCTGCATCCGAATTGGTTCCCTTCCCCCACAGTGGTTTACAACAAAAAGTTCTAATAAAAATAAAAATGTATAACACTTTAGAAAAGAGCGAAATCCGATCTAGTACTTAATATTATTTTAACATATTTTCTAACAAGTACAATTGAAATAGATTAATAATTATTTAGATAAAAACTGTAATAAAATCGTTGTTACAAATGTTTACCTAGATAGAATATTGTTATTATATTATTTATTATTATTTTTTTTACTATTTACAATGACCGTTTAAAAATATGCTAAACATAATACTTATAAAAAAAAATTTAATTAAAAAAAAAAATGATATTTATGACAAAATCCACAATTTTCCACTTCTTCCCGGAAACCAATTAGGAAATACCTTTCGTAAAATATCAGGAACCAATTTGGAAGTCTGGAAACCAATTCGGATACACCGTTCAATTCGACCAGTGGCATACACAACAATGGAAGGGGTTATACATAAAAAAAATATATATATGTACATGTACATAATAACATATCAAAATATTTTTTTAACTGTATTAATTTTTATACAATTTTTATACATATAGTAAAAATTGTACCAAGGGGGGTTGAGGGTTGGACACCACCGCCCCTGTGTTCGCCACTGGATTTGGTCTTTCATTTCTACAGGTATATTATATTATATTATAATGCCGTTGAGATTGAACAATAATTGAGGTACAGCTACTATATAATATTCGTATTCGTGTTTAGGTCGTACCGTCTTAAAGACCGCGAACTATTCAGATACAGTAAATATATATATTATTTCAAAAGGGATAATGAGTCGCGGGTTTCTTAATGACAAATGGTCTGATAGGTACTAATATTACGAACAAAAAAAAAACCTACCTTTCGGAAGCACCGTAATTGTTTAAGGGTCTAGCGTGATGCTTCCGCCGGAACTATATAATAATATCAGTATAGGAATAGGTATTATTAAAGTTGCTTTGCACCACCGTTCCTTCGAAATGGCGCATAATTGTTATTATTATATATATATTTCGATGTACGTTTTTTTTCGGTCACAACAAAAGCATGTATTATCCTTTTTTCCTGAGTTGGTATATTATCTAATATACTTATACATACCAACCGGCAAAAAGACGCATATAAATGTAGACGCATTATAAATATTGACTGAGGACATCATAAATTACAGAGACGCGACCTGAATTTAAACAAACCTGTCGCAAAAATAAGCTCAATTTTGGATACAACAATGAATTCGTACGGGAACCCATGTTTTCAAAAAATACGATCGGCGCGTGATGCTTGTAATACGCCAATCTGTCGTTAATTATTAATTATATGCCATTTGTTTAAAGGCATCGGATCCGATACGATTCTAGTACGAAAACATGTCTTACTGGAAAAACACTCAAGCCATGTAAGATCGTCAGATTTTCGTTTTTTTTTTTTTGTTTGATAGAACAGGACATTTAGGAGGTCAGATCAAAGCCTGATTTTTAAAATTATGCGTTAGATAAAATATGTATTTTAAAGATATACAGTATTTCTTATTTTTCAAATGTATTTTTTAGCACTATTTAAAGTAAAATGAAAATCCGGGTTTTGATTCAGACCTTCAATAAGTTCTTATCATTTAAATAAAATAACTATGATCAAAGTTTGTCATATCAATGAGGTGTGAGAGTTTTTTCTGTGAAGTCATCAATGTTGATATAATACATCATAATCTCCCCCCCCCCCCTAAATATGTATCAAGCAGTAAATCAGTAGAAAATTATATTCTGATTGAGGTAACAACTGAAATGCAAAATACAATTAGAATTTCCGAAAATTAGAAAAATCGGCTCCGACATCCTCAAAACGTATAAGAGGATGTTAATTTGTCTGTAGTAGGTTAAGTAACCTCGATAAGTTTTAACTTCAAACTACCTACCCAAAAACATCCAACGAGTGACTGTTTTTGTTTTTTTTTTTTAATTTGTTCTACAATAATATTGCAAGTAGTGAATTAGGTTAAGTAGTCAGGAGTAAAATTTTAAGATAAGAAACAATCTATCAATGACATTTGTGACCGGTAATGACTGCAGTTTAGTATTTATTATTATTAATCACTACAGCATTTTTTGGAACGCCAACGAAATATAACAGTTACTCGATCGTATAATTCGAATCGTTTTATTTAAAATAAAATACAATGCTGGTTATTGTCGTAAGTCATAACTCATATTATAGTCATTGGTACTTGTAATATATTATATTTTGTTTACTTGCAATCTACATACAGTAGTAAAACAAACACGCAAATAACTCATTTTTATATATGTTTACCTTTTGTTTTGTTTCAGCGATATTTCCTCAGCTCATAAAGAGGAATGGTTCGTGTAGGTAAGTGTACAACATGCAATTTCAGATTTCCATCAACTTCGTTGTTTATAAGTTATATCAATTGACAATAACTTAAACATCGTTGAATAGCAATAGGTTTAGTGCCTGTTATTATAAGGCTGCGCAATGTCGATGTCTTAATACACGTGCAATAGACAATAGTTTCAATTTTTTAATTTAAATACAATTTCAGATTTTTGTAGTAAAAATAAAATGTATAAATAATAATAACAAAACGAAATAATTGCTACATCGAGTAAATTACATTTGAAATAATTTGCGTATGGGCAATCGTTGTTATTGTTGCACAATTTAAAAATTAAAAATACTCATTGGTATTATTATAAGTAAGTATCATACATATATCGTCCATCCACGAGAATCTTCCAATACTATATTTTACATTTATAAGCTCCGAGTCACTCCTTTTTTTCACACAAAATAATGGTTTTCTATTTACTCGATAAACAAACTATTAAATGTTAAATTATGCATGAGCTTATAAAATACGCACACGATGCAACACGGCGGAGCTATTGTTATTATTATTATTATTATTTTTTTTTTTTTATACGTCGTAAAGTGTATTCTACCATTTCAATTTTCCATAAATTTAAAACAATATTTCATTGATACGGTTTTTATTTCACTGTACGATACCGCCGGGCCGGCTTCATAATATTATTTTTCTTTATGCGCCCCGCAGCAGTGTCATGGTGCACGATATAATTTTACATTCACGAGCATATAATAATACTGTTCAGACAAATCTCTGGTGGATCGCAAAACCAATAATTCGATTGCCTGCGCCTTTAGACAATAAAATATATCGTCTTTGTCAATAGATATACGCACTTGTAATTCCATTTTAAATTAGGTGCCGATATTATCGTAATGTGCAGTGCATGTTTTATTATTAACCGTATCCGGACAACCATATTTATAACGTCGTCGATAGAAACGAAAACCTTCAACTGCCGATAAATTATTATTTCAAATGCATCATACCGTCGTATTTATGATAAGATTTTGGATATTTGTGGCTCTTAAATCAATTTCGCTTAAACCAAACTTTGACTACAATTAATAAATATATAATTTCATTAGAACCGTAAGATAGTGGTTTTTATTGCCGTCGGTTTCGTTATCATTTCAGTCGTTATTAGGTATAGATTGGCACGGCAGCGGCGGCGGCGGAGCTTTTAATATGTGTAGCCAAAAATAATCACTGTGTTTCGTCATTTGATTTTTAAAATGAAAAATGTATCTTAATTTTTCAAACATTGCTTTACAATATCGCTCACCTCGAATTAACTTTATAAATTTGGGGCTCCCAAAGTTAAGGTTAGTGGCCACCCCTGTACTATAGTATCTGGTGGGTTCTATATATTCACTTGTTGTATAGATCTGATAGGTACTAGACAAAAATATACTGTCGTGTTACACGGTCATAACAATAATAATCCTATTACGAGTGTATATCCTGCTCGGTTAAGCGTTACTCGACTTTTCTATACTTTCAATACTACACTATAATATTAGCAGCATTCAGGGATTGAATGTACACAAAAGGGATGATAATATAATATTCTAAGAAATAATTCACACAGCAATTCTCGAGACTCGGGCCCGTATGTATTGCAGACACATATTATATTATTGTATTATGTACATTCAATAACCCCGCCGTATTATATTATTATGCTCAAAGCTCCAAATGCAAATTATTATTCACGATAATATTCTAATACATTTCGAGAAAACAAACGGTCGTCGAAAAATTATAATATTAATACGCTTCGCCCGGCCTCGGTAATAGCAGCAGTAATAATGTGCAAGGGCATCGCACGGACCTTATCATCTTTCACAGATGAGCCGTTTCGGGGGGTAGTTTTAATTTTAAACCTCCCGGAAAATCGATTCTTAGCTTTAGATAATTTTTGTCACGACACTTCTTTTTATAATAATTAATAACCTACGTAATAAGACCGAGTGATTTTATACCGACGGCGATATCATATATCGTAAGTTCTCTTTAAATCGATCGTTTATACGTTCAAAAGTATTATATTGGTAAATATGTACATGCACCTATACTGTATGATAATTTTTTTTTATAAAAATAAGATACACGAAAAATAAAGACAATAATAATAACGCTCCACCAAATATATAAAATCGAATTTTGAAATCGTTATTTGTTTGGTAAATTATATCAGCTGTTGGATATAGAAATGACGTTTTATTTTATTTTTTTTTACTTGATTTACAAGTTGATCCAAGTCCATTTCCAAAAGATGTTTCGATTAATTTGTGGAGTACACGGAGACGTGGTGAATTTAAACTAACTAAAAATTAAATCCAACACCGATAGAAAATCAAATTGACCGACAACAACGTGATTGAGAGTCTGAAATATCGTCTGTAAATAAAACCGACTATTGATCAATTCAATGCGATACTATGATACAACGTCATATTATTATCACCGACTAAGCTATTTATTTTTTATTTTATCGAAACCCTGAAGGAATGGGCGATTTAAATAAAGTATGCTGGAAAACGATGAGTTCTAATGAACTTTATCGATGATGATCATAAAATCATCGTATAGTTGTCGATTTTCTATAATGTCGTATATATTGTGTCGTAGAATAAGAACACTTGGTGTTATGTTTGATTAAAAATATTGTTTAACTAATCTTGTTTTAACCATGTTTTCACAGGGATGGCCTAATCCGTAGCCCAGCAGGGTGTTACCGGTAGTACCTCGCCAGGCCGGCAAATGCAGCATTCGGATTGCTGCACTTTCCTATAAACTTTTTTTTTGCCTATAATATTTATGTTAAAAAAAAATATACTTCATCAGTTTTTATATACTTTTATTTCCATTTCTTTTCTAAAAAATAAAAATAATCATCATATTAAAATTTAAAAAAAAAATATATATATTATCATAATTAATACATTATCATAATCTTTTAGAAAAAATACATAAATTGAGTGGAAATAATTCTAAAAACTCCCTAATAAATCTGTGACTACAAGAAACTATTAACTGTCATATTCATTATTATTAACAATAATATAATGTTAAAACCAAAACGTTTAGGAACCTTTGATTTATTATTCCTTCTCTTAGCCAAGTACCTTTTGTACTATAACAATATACCTATTAAACCTAATAATATACCTAATACTATAATCTCAATTAAGAGATAAACTTTAAATATTTGAAATAACAGCATATGTTTATACATTATTGAACAACGAAGACTAAAACATTTTTTTCTCTTTACATTTTCCACTTTTCTTTGACGCAATCCACTCGATGCACATCGTATAATATGTTATACAGAGCGCGTGTGGACTTGTTTAATTGAAAACAGTAACATAAACGTTCAAATCAATTGAATAATAATAACCTTTGAAATCCACCGTTGATCAAGAATACGATAGCTCCCCTCCGTGACCAACTCCCGCTTACCATAAGCCACTGACAAGGTACAACCGCGGCCATTACCATTGTATACCATATCTTTACCAAGCGCGCGTACACTGTTTCACCCCTCTCCACATTATTATTTATTGTATTTTAAAGTCTATATTATTATCTACACACGCAGTATGACATATCTGCGAGTGTACGTGTGCGTGCGTTTCAACCTATTGCATATCCTTTTGTCTCTCCGTCCACGAGAGATTACATTTTCCATATCGTTAGAAGCGTAAAAACTTTTACATTATATTTTTTTTCACATAAAAATCCAAGCATTCTTCAAACCACGAAATTTCGCGTTTAAAAATTAAACCCAACCCGTGAGAGTCCAACCTCAGCCTCCCCCTCACCCAAAAAAAAGTCTTATAATTTTGCATATCATGTATACACATATATTATATATAAATATTTTATAACGAATAATAATATTCCCGATTTTCCAAGAGAATTTGTTTTCGATCTTTCTTTTCACATAGGTACCTATGCATTAGGTTTCATTAATTCTTTCTCTTCATTTACGTAACTCGATTAATCAGCTCGACAGAAAAAAATTTATAATGATATTTCGTTACAACGAATATGGACTGACAATTACGTTACTTATATCGCCCCCCCCCTCCCCCACCGAACATTACACTTACTTTTATATTCGTTTCAAACCAACACTTCTTCCGTTAATTCTTTATTTTATTATACAAGAATATTAAATACTTATCACATTTGAACCAAGTATATGTGTGATTGTGTGTGTGTAGTATCATTTTCAATGTTTTTATCAACGTCGGTCTATATCCGTCCATTCAATCCGTTTCAAACGAAAAAATAAACATAAGCATAAATAGATTTGTGCTGTCAAATTACGTTTTACACACGTATTATAATATTATACATTGTTTTTTTTTAAATTTTTTTCTGAATACTGGGTACACTACGAAACCGTAAGACTCCAGTGATCCACGTCGCAATTGATTTCTATATTTCTACCTCAGCATTACATATTGATTATATTATATTTCACAACAGTTATATCAAAGAACAATAGTTAAATACCACAATCAACTCTTATATAATATATATATATTTTTTTTTTTATGGTAGTGTTTTTGTATATCATACTCGTACAACAGTTGTACGAAATTGTAACGATGGTGTTTGTATCATTATTCTATTTAGGTAAATTATTTTCGTTAACCTTATGTTACCAGCTTATAATTTTATTCAATAATAGAAAATTATTGTAACGATCGAGTGTTTCGATACACTTATATTTTATGTATTAGATTAATCTTAAAAAAATATATGTTTTATTGTTTAGTGAATGTGTTAGTATATTAGTGTCACGAACATCAATAGCCAAAAAAATGTGTCGTTCGGGAAGCTTATTCTTTAAAAATTTCTTATTAAAAAAAAAAATAATAATAATAATAAAACTTACCTATAATTTGTATGCTATTTATGCGTGAGATTATGGTAAATTAGTTGAAGTAGTCATAAGTCAGTTATAATATAAATATATATTTATAAGTACATCATATTTATTCATTAATTTTAGCCTTTATATTATATACACAGCCCAATACCTCTAATTACGTCTTATATATTATTATATTTACAGTATGTGTAAATACTATCTGTGCTCTGTATATTTCTTGAACGTTATTTAATACCAGATGATATAATAAAACTGTGGTCTATTAGTGATTTTGTGTTAAGCACAGAACCCCATCACGCAAAAGAACGTACCTAAATTATATTATAATTAAATTTTGTAAAAGAATACAACTGCACAGCTTTGTCTTTGGTTTAGCTTGTAGATTAAAACGTCAATTAATGTAATGATGACTACGATATTATGACAATAGACATTCATATATTTTATATATAAGTATATTTTTGTTTTGTAATCATGGTAATAACATAATAATAATATTATTCGTTTTTTTTTTGTTTTAAAGGCCTACAAACTTGTGAAAATTAACTTATTTAATTGTAAAGTTCAATAATCAATATACATTTCTGAAAACATAATATTTAATGATATATAATAATGAACAGATATATTATAAGTACAGATGCATTAAAACGTTGACGTTAACAATTTATCTAATAATATGATAATAATAATTATTACAACTGCCTATAAGATATTATATTTACAATAATTAATGTTATAGATATTTAAGTCAGATATACAATACTATTCTATTATTATTTTAACGTACACCGAGTAAAATAATGTGTTTATACTTGACGTGTGTACATTTACCATGCATTTAGAAAAATATATTTCGTTCCCCATAATATTATACTATTACATGAATAAATACAAACATTATTTCGAAAAACAACGGTATTGTCGTTTATTTTTTCGTGTAAGTACCTACTTATAATTTCCTCCTCTCGTATTTCATTTTCCATGCAGGTACCTGACGACGATCAAACGACGAAGGCAAACTAGAGTGAGTGTATACAATAACATAACACGGGTAATGGCCAATGGGTATGTATACACAGGACATGGACGTCATTTCTGCTTTTCAATATTGCTGGGGAGACGTACATTTTAAGCAGGACGATTTTTCTTTCCGAGATGTCATTTATTATTACCCCGAGCCCAGCTATTGTGTATTATCTCCTATGCACGTCCATACGCAAATGTATAGGTAGCTACCTAAGATTATTTTTTTCTGGAATTCGCAGGTCAATTATAGAACTCAAATTAGAAAAAAAATACATATTTCATGGGAAGAATGTCCAGCAAAAAACAAAAATTTGTACTCATATGCCACGTTTGGAGCAAGTAAAATATGAAAATAGGAATGCTGAAGTGTTGCCAACTGCTTGGTAAAATTAATACAAGCTAAATACATTTTTTTTTAATGTCCCTTTTTATATATAAAAACCAGTCAACCAATCAACTTGTATGCTTGATAAAAGAGAATAATAGTTAATTAATGTTTGTTATTATTCAAAATATGTACATATACAAAGGCTTGCCTATAGACTGAAAAACAAAAATACGATACCTATGTACATTTTTTTTCCCATATTATTATATAAAACTAGAAGAAGTAGCATAAACGGCCGATACCGAACTGTGCGTGCTCCAAGAAATGCAATATATTAAAACGTGTTGATTTTACAATCGAAAAGGGTTTTTCAGGTCAAATGTTTGCCAATGGACGACACTAGTATAGTTATTACTTATTATTATTAAGTGAGGTAAGCACCTCGAAAACACGTGCGATAGGTAAATATAATATACCTATAGGATATGCAAGGCTTGACTCCATCAAAAGACACCCTTTGTCGTTAATATGACACATAACGATGTAGGGAAGTGATGGTCGTTTTTGTGAGTTGGGCGAACCTCACGAACTTATAATTTTGTGATCCAGCATAATTTCATTGTAATATTAAATCGTGTCAACAACCGTTACTAGGAAATAAAATCTGAAATTGTCCCTTAGATGGACATCGTTCCATAATTTTGGGTGATGTAGGGTGGGGAGAGAGATTTTAAAGTATATTATAAATATACGATAGGAAGAAAAATGTTATCGCTCCACCCGAAAATCTTTGTTACAATTTCATTACATAACATTATTTTTGGGTTATATTTTTGGTTGAGCTTCCCTCTTCATGTTATTTCAAACTTAAATATAAAGTAATTACTAATTAGTAATTACTAACCATCAAATTTACTTATTGTGCTACTCCAACACATATTGTAAATATTCTTTATTAAATAAAAAAATATATACATTTTATGTCGCTTCGTCGTGGACTTGTGGTGAACAAAAATGGGTTTTCCTTCGTATTCGAGGATTTGTTTTTTTTTAAATAATAAGCTATTTATTGACATTTTATCAGTCAATATATATATATATATATTATTTTAATAAAACATATTTTTACGGACTATATTTGCATATATGCATACAATTAAGTAAAATGGAAATAGATTCAGCCAATGCTTGTCCGCTTTTCAATGGGAATATGTATATGCCATATTTTGAAAATAGTTTTACTTATTCACTATGTATTTTTATAATTTTCGTTGTAGTTAAACTAATTTTCCTTTTTAAGTCATATATTAAGTATACTATGTCATATAAATTGTTTGATTTTGAAAAGCATTGTATTTAACATGTGAAGTGGTAAAGCGGAGATTGCATATTATTATAAAAATATAGTAATCCATTTACATTTAAAATATTAAACACCTATAAATAAAAAACAAATAAATAAATGCCTATAATCAAATAATAGAAAAATAGGCACTAGTGACTTTTCTATTAATTAGTGAAATGTGGAAATTAAAAAAAAAAATGATGATGAAAAAACCAAGATCTATAAATTTTAAAAAAACTAACAAATTTAAATCAAAATAAGTTATTAAACGATTCTTATGT